GTGATTTCCTCACTACAGTGTTCAAGCGTTTTGTTCTGAGCCAAGCATCTGCATTATGGGATTGGAGCATAAACTCCTCTCCCCTCTCTCCACTCCCCCAAAAGCCACCCCGCAAATGGTCCCAAATGGTGGCTCCAAGTGCCTATCTATGAAAGGCGCCATTCTTAGGACAGTGTTTACTGGTCTGCCGTGAAACAAGAAAAATAAAAACAGTTTTCTGTGTTTCTTGTAATGCTATTTTTTCCCACTTAAAAAGTGTTTTTTATTTTGAGATTATTATTTTATTACTTTTTTGGTGTTAAAATGTTCTTTTAAAATTAAAGGTGATGGCAAATGCTAATTTGTTTTTCTAATATCCTCACTTAGCAAAAGAAAAAGCTGGCTATTGTACTTTGGTACCTAAGATGTTTGGGGATATTTACTGGTGCATGAAATCCAAAAGTTTGGAACCCTTTGGGAAGGAGGGGGGCGATAGTGGTCATGTGCCTTTCGTTTAAACGAAACTGAAGCAAAATATTCCTAGGTCAAAGGAGCACAGATTTCAAAACTGCAGTATCAGAAAGGGGATCAGCCATCGCAGAATCGCCCCATGGCAGGGGCTATTGCGTAAAGCAAGGAAGGAAATGCCGAGGCCCCCCCGGAGGGGCAATTTCATGCTGTGAGAATTTTAAGAGAGAAAATCCCAACTATGGCAGCCTGGGCAGTCTTCACGTTTTGCTCTTGGAGCCTCATTCCTCCCATTTTCCCACAAGGGCAGAGGTCATGCCTTATACTTGAGAAATCAACACAGGATGGGGTATATGGCTTTAATGAGTCTTCGGTGATTGATGACTGGTGAGAGGTCATCAAGCATGATGCCACGCGGTCTGTGTTTAGCCATCGAGGACACACCCAGCCCCTCCCTGTCAGGGGCTGGCATCCTCAGAGCCCGAAGGTGATGCTGCTTCCAGCCTCCCTGTGCCCGCTCGCCAATGCCAGCCTTTAGCCATTCATAATTTGGGCTCCACCTGAACCCTGGCTTCTCCACACTCCCCTGGCACCCTCTTTCTCACTGAGGATTGGACATGTGGAAAGTTTCAGCTTTGGGAGTTCAGCTCTGTGGAGGTGGCAGTATGCCAAAAGACAGGGGAATAAAAAGAAAACTCCCGAAATTACTTTGAAACAAGAAATAGAAGGCATCGTTCTCCCCAACCCCCCACTCCTGGCTGTGCCCCCTCTACCTTCACTCTGCTCCAAAACAGTCAAGCAGAGGTTTGCTCAGATTTTCCAAACAAAACCCCTGCCTTTGGGAGGAGACCAAATGCAGAATGGGCAGGCCTGGGGGAGAGCCTAGAAACAGCTCCCGCCGTGCAGGCTGCTCCTACCATCCACTCAGAGCCCTTGCGACCAGAGACTTGGTAGCAAAAAGAACATGGTGTCGGGAGTCAGAAAGATTTGGTTTGACCCCCGCCCCGCTCAGCCACATCCCAGCTGCGTGACCTTGGGCGCGTCTCTTCTCACTGAGACGCCTCAACCAGTGCCTCAGCTGTCTCATCCATAAAATGGGTCGGACAATTCCTGCCTCAAAGAGTTGTGTGGGTCTCAACAGAGATCATGGAAGTACTTGGTACTCTCTAAAGCTGTGCTGTCCAATGCTGTCTAATGCTGTAGCCATGAGCTATATATGGCTGTTGAAATGGAAATTGATTAAATAAAATTTAAAATTCAGTTCCTCAGTTGCACTAAACACATTTCAAGGGCTCACTAGCCACATGTGGCTCACGGCTACCATGTTGGATGGCAAGGTATAGAACATTTCCACAGAAAGTTTCCACAGAAAGTTGTATTGGACATCAATGCTAAGTTAAAAAACAAAAAAACCACACACCTAGTGGCAGAAGCAAGAGGGCTTCTGAACTTCTCTGCCATGACCTTTTTCCCAGGAAAAGGCAATGACAAGGCAGGCCCTGGTTAGAGAGACGCCCCAAGCACTGTGGTACAGAGGCAGGGCTGCTCTTCAGGTGTTAAATACAGCCCGTCCCCTCTCTACCTCCTTCCACCCCAGCCAGGTAGGGCTTTTGTCATCAGCTCTCTCTGGGATCTAGAGATGTCTTCTCCCTCCGTCAATTCCATTAGGTGAGGCACCGACTTTAGGGTGGGCCCCTTAAGCCTGTGCCCTCCTCCGAGGCCTCCAGTACCAGGCTCTCCTGTCTGGGAGATGAACCTACCTTCCAGATTAGACTCTGGACCCAGCACCCCCATACCTGAGGCTCAGCTGCTCATCAGATTAAAGCTCCATCTTTCCTAAACTCTGTGTCAGTGGGACGCTAAGGACCTCCCCACTGAGTACCTGATCCCTGCCTCAGGATGGGGCCCTGTCCCTTCCACACCCAGAGGCGTTTCTAGGCAGGACGGTCACCCACCACCCTCAGTGCTGCCCTTCCCTGGGCCTGCCCCTCACCTTAGACCCCTACCTGGAGGCCTC